TGCTTTTGCTTTTCTTTGGTACTGGGGATGGAACCCAGAACCTCCAGTATGCTAAACACATGAGCTACACCCTCACACCCCTCAGGGCTTTGCAGCTCAGATTTTCTGAAGGGTGAGGGTTCAAACAGCAAACCTTTTTTTTTTTTTAGTGGCAGAATGGTATATTCTTAGTCTTCTGAGAAAGGTATAGCATACATAGTTCAAACATAGCATTCTTTGGTAAGCATCAGAGCTTTGGTAGGGGTTACATAACATTTGCTAATCAAGTTTTCACTTTTAGCCATTTTGTAAGTTTATAAGACATAGCCATATGCATTAGGATATATACATATACATGTTTTTTTCACCAGTACACCACACCTTCTATCTAAAGCACAGTTACCATATGTCAACTTTGGCTTCACAGTTGCTCCCTTCAACTTGGCCCAGAGGAGCTGCCCTAAGGCAATGTAGAACACTTCTTTGTTCCTTAAGAACAAACCATGGAGGGCAGGGTTCACAGGCTGTGAGAATGCCCTCATTTCCCTACCAAGAAGTCTGGGACTAGATCATTTCACAATGTTGGCAGGATACAAAAGCAGCCCAAGAAAAGCAATACTTTTATGCTTTACAAAACCCAGGGAAATTTCTCCCCTTTGCTTTATTTTTTAGGTACCTAGGATTGAACTTGGGACCTCGCGCTTGAGAGGCAGGCAGTGGAACCACTGAACTAAATCCCTGGCCCTCCCACTTTACTTTAGAGGAAAAAGAGGCTGGGTGTAGGGAGGCTGAAGCAGGAGGATTGCTGTGAGTTAGAGATGAGCCTGGGCTACCTGGTGAGTTCCAGGTCAGTCTCAACTACCTAGTGAAACCCTGTTTCAAAAAAACTAAAAAACAACAACAACAAAAAAGAAGCTGTGTGTGATGGCGCACACCTGTAATCTCAGTACTCGGGAGGCTGAGGTAGGAGGATGGTTGCCAGTCTGGGCTACACAGTGAGTTCCAGGTCAGTCTCAACTACATAGTGAGACCCTGTCTCAAAAAAACAAACAATAAAAGCAAAAACAAAAACAAAAA